CAACCAATGTTCTCTCAGTGCCACCTCCACCAACTGTCACTGCTGCCATGGTCATTGTTGTCCTTATTATGATCACTGTTATCATCACTATCAACATTATTACCATCATGACTTCCTATTATAACCATTGTCACTGTCATCTTCACTAGGCAATCATCATCAGCATGATTGTCAATGATGTTGTCACCATTGCTATTAATACTACTATTGACTATTATTGCCATGACCTCCACCACCACCCGTCATCACCACAAAAAAACTAAAAATGTTTTAATTTTTTTTACTTTTAAAACTTATAACCGGCAACCATCCTGAATAGTCCCTAAGATTCACATGTTATATGATATGTTTGTTTTCTGAATCAGGTTGGTACAGTTCTTCTTGGTTGTGCCTTCATTTACGACATCTTTTGGGTGTTTGTCTCAAAGAAGTTTTTCAAGGAAAGCGTCATGATTGTGGTTAGTATTATGTTCCATTCTAATTCATGACAATCACTAACACTATGTACTTACTAATTTTAATTTTACTTACTTTTTACTCACCATAGGTAGCCCGAGGTGATCGAAGTGGAGAAGATGGAATTCCCATGTTACTGAAGTTCCCACGCATTTTTGATCCATGGGGTGGGTACAGCATCATAGGTTTTGGAGACATCCTTTTACCAGGAATGCTGGTGGCATTCTCACTCAGGTTTATTTCCTCCCGCTTTCTACCCTTTATCCCTTGCATGACTTATGTCAACCCAAAATTTGATTTTAATAACAAGAATGTCCAAATTTTATGGATTGGAATTGCTTCAGTCTCTTTTCAGGAATTTTTCTTTCACAATAATAACCTGGGAAGGTAGAAAAGAATGAAGGAATTTTGAGTTCTTAAAACTGCAATTTCCTAGTTGCAGTATGGAAAGTTTATAGTTGGTGAAAAAGCTTTTCTGATCAATGTTACGTTTTTTGCAGGTACGATTGGCTGGCAAATAAGAGCCTTAGAGGTGGATATTTCTTGTGGGCAATGTTTGCATATGGCTTTGGTAAGAATCAAATATCAACTACCAATCACCTTGTGTTACCGAAAAGTCGTTAATATTCATGGCTGAAAAAAAAATCTTTTTATTGTTGATTCAAAAGTTACATGATTGATTGAGAGTACATAGACATGACCTGACTTTTTGCTAATGTTGATAGGTCTTTTAGTTACGTACGTGGCACTAAACTTGATGGACGGGCATGGCCAACCAGCACTACTATACATCGTTCCATTTACCCTTGGTACTTTTGCTTTTGATGGAAATTATTATTTTGTTATCATTTTCTATCTAGAAAAAAAATAAATGAACAGCTTAGTAGTTATATATAGTTAGGTGCTGAAGGTTTGATACATTAATGGTGCAGGGACCTTGATGACATTGGGGCGGAAGCGAGGAGATTTGAGGGTATTGTGGACAAGTGGAGAACCTGAAATACCGTGCCCACATATAAGACTTGATCAACAATTAAGCCCTGAATGCCATTAGGACCAAAACCAACCTTAGCACCATAGTTTCATGATAACCAATCCCCTTTAAACAAAGCACGAGGGGCTCCCATTTATAGAAATAGTTTATATTTAATGTAGAGTTTGTTCAAATAGTTCTTATCTGTGATACTACCAAATCCCAATGATTATAATACGTGCAATTTTATTCATCTGGCATCCTTCTAGATTATATGATGCTTAATGAGTTAATGTAATAAATAACCCACAAGAGTTCATGAAAGTCTAAAATGCAAACCATCTTTTTAGTACTTCATTGACACTCCGTCTTTTTTTTTTTCAGACCACTTATTTTTATAATAATTTCATAAAACATTTTCTTTTATTTCTTTCCATCCCGCTAACATCTTATTTTTTAAACATTCTTTCTCCTCATCTTACTTTTCTTTTTCATATAACTCTTTCTTCTTTTATTTTTCACAATATTTTAGTAACAGTGTAATTTCTTTTCTACAAATGCCATCCCCACGCTGCATACAAAAAGTTTGCTTGGTAGGCCTAAGTTTGGCTGGCCTAGAGCTTTTCGTTGCTTCTCATCTTTCTTTTCCTTTATATGGAAGGAAAAATTGTACAACACTGTTAAATCATTAGAAAACAATGCACTGTATGTAGCAAAGAAAAAGATGCTATATTTTTTTAAAATTCTTTTAATTTTTAATTAAAAAATATTAGTATTTAATGTTTTGAAAGCTTAAATTCCATTAATAATATTGTTTTTGAAAATAATAGCATTATTAAGATAATTTGTGAAAATGGATGAAATGGATAATTTTATTTTTAATACTTGAAAAAAATTAAGGGTTTATTATTTCAAAGATATAAATATTTTAATTTTTTTTATTTTAAGCAATTAAAAGAATGCAAGGAAATGGAGAATTATTTAATACATATCGTTACGTTAACATTTTCTTATTACTAGTATATTTGAAAAATTATTTTATTGTTTAATCTTTCTTTAATCAAAGGTTTAGCTAAGAACTTTTTGAAAATTGTTTATACAAATTTCTTGTTAACGACCCATTTTCTTAAACATTATTTTTATGATAATGATTAAAAGTATTAAATATATCATGAAATATTATTACTATGTTTCATAATAAATTTTCATTTTATTAATTAAAGACAATGAATAACACTCCGTTTTAGAAATGTGTTTCATGTGCATAATTGCAATTGACGGGTCAAGGAAAGGTTTAGAAATTAGAACTGTGTCATGAAATATGAATAAGAATGGTATCCTATGGGCTATGGGCTATGGGGGTGAGCTGTAAGGCACAATTTATATGACTAAATCTAATGCTGAAATGTCTAACTGCACCGTCTTCATTGTAGACGATCTTATCCAACTGTCAAGTCTTTATTTGGTGGAGGTGATTTAACATGAAAAATGATGGATTAAGTGAATTATAGTGAATTTTTTTAAAAAATATTTATGTTCTGTGAATGATATTTAAGAAGAATTATGAGATATTAGAAAAAAATCCCACATTAATTTTTATATTCTCTCTATTAAGAGAATTGTTGTGAAATTTGAAAGATATATAAAATTACAACATATAAAAAGAAATCCAGACTATATTATAAAGAAAGAATAAAATATTAATTATAAATATTAATTTTTCTCTATCTTTTTTATCTAATTTTATTCTACCAAATAATTACAAATTTTACTTAATTTCTTACTTATTTTTTTTATCAAAATAATTCTCACTTATTCTCTCTATTTTTTTTTTAATCTCCCTTCACCCAAACAAACCATTAATTTCTGTCTTAGGTGGCGGATTAGGCCCACCCAAAGTTACAATATTATTCACACGAGATTCTTTACAATTCATGGTTTATCATGTAAATAATTAAAAAATTAATTCAAAAGCCACTTTAGAGTTTAGACAATTATACAAAATTACATTATTCCAAAATCAATTCTATCTATACTTGTTCAAATTGAAATACACACTAAACAGATTTTAGAGTAGTTGTTGTAGAAGCACATTAAATATGGCTCAACTCAAATCCTCCCATTTTTTAAAGGATATTTTCCAACCTCTTATTTAGATTATATTGACTTTGTTTTCAATATTTTTTTACAATAATTTTTAAAAAAAATAAAAGTGACATTATGTTTTTATAATATATAAAGATATTTTAAATTGATATTTAATAATATATTACCATGTATAGTAAAATAATTAATTTATATAATAATTAATTAAAAATATTTAATTTAATTAATAATGTATAAATATTCCAATTTAATGATTATGCATTTTCTTAAATTTTTTATATAATTAACTAATTGAAAATACTATTAGTTCAATTTTTTAAATAATTGTGATATAAATTAACTAATGTATAATTGAATGACGATATAAAATTTTACACTGTGAATGTATATTTAATTTCTTCCTAAAATTGAATTCTAAAAGATAAAAATAAATAAGTATATACAATATTATAATTGTATCAGTTTTAATTAATAAAATTGATAAAACAATACTAAATTCTCCGCAGAATTTTGTAAAATTGTTTAGAGTGTGTAGTTTTGTAACGCAACGACGTCGTAAAGTGACTAGGATGGTTGATGGCAGTTAGGCATGTCATGGGCATGATGACTGTCACTTACCCAACGGTCACCAAACGGTCAATTCTGACTTCGTCAAACAATCCGTTGCTTGCCGCCACCTAACCGTTAAATTAGAATCCCATTTTGCATTTTGCATTTTGCATTTTCCATTTTGCATTTGCCACACTATTTCTTTACTAATATATATCGCCATACAACTAACAATGCTATGAAAAAGAAGAAGGAAAAAAAAAATGTATCAGATACCTAGCTAGGTTAATTAGTGTATCACTGCAAAACTCCTAATTTGATTTTTAAATGTGGTTAAACATTGTAATTGTAGTCTTTAAATTTATATTCATTGAAATTGTAATATTTCATTCAAGCTAATTATTTCATTATGTATTTTTTATTAACCTTAACCAACCATTCTCTGGCATATTACTCTTGAAATTTGGCATCTGTCTTATTGGTCTGAATTTGGTAAAATTAAAATTAGTCCTTAGATTTTACATGTCATATATCATATTACCCTATTTTTGTTATCTTTAATGAAGCATCTTACTTGGCACATTAAGCGTCTCTCTAGTACACATGGAATGATCTTTATGTCTTAATTAGTGAAGACTATATAGTCTATAACAAGTGTTTGTGGCAATTATGAGACTAGAGTTTAGTACTCTACTTATTATTGATGGGGCTTTCCTTTTTCATTTATTCTATGTTTTTGAGAAAATAAATAACTCTCCATTAATTATGCATGGTCTTTATATTATTTATATGAGGGAAGAAATGGAAAGAGAAAATGCTGATTGAGGAGGCATATAAAAATGAAGAACTTGCATTGTTTATTTATGCGTGACTTGGTTAACTTTATTGATGCACGAAACAGCTAATGAGGAGGCATATAAAAATGAAAAAGAAAATCATTTATAACAGCCTGTTTGTCTGAGGAACAAGATAAGAACAAGGGAAAGAAGAAAAAGCAAAAGGAAAAGCAAAAGGTTATTCCCATGATTTGGCAGGAAAGGGAATGCTCCAGTGACTATAAAAGAAGTAAGAATGAGTTAAGGAAGTGAAAGTGAAAGTAAAGAGATAAGAAGAGATGGAGAGGGAGGAAGATGTTAAGGTTGGAGCACAGAAATTCTCAGAGAGGCATGCGTTGGGAACAGGAGCTGGGGGTGACAAGGACTACAGAGAGGCACCAGCAGCACCCTTGTTTGAGGGAGGGGAGCTCAAGTCATGGTCTTTTTACAGAGCTGGGATTGCTGAGTTTGTGGCCACATTCTTGTTCCTCTACATCACTATCTTGACTGTCATGGGTGTCAACAGGTCACCCAACAAGTGCTCCTCTGTTGGCATTCAAGGAATTGCATGGGCTTTTGGCGGCATGATCTTTGCCCTTGTCTACTGCACAGCTGGAATATCAGGTTAACATAACATAACACAATCCTTTCTTTTCTAACAAAATATTTATATGTTTGTTGGGTGTTGGGACAGGTGGACACATAAATCCGGCAGTGACGTTCGGTTTGTTCTTGGCTAGGAAGCTGTCGCTGACAAGAGCTGTGTTCTACATTGTGATGCAGTGCCTTGGAGCTATCTGTGGTGCTGCTGTGGTGAAGGGGTTTGAGGGTAATGCAAGGTACCAGTTGTTCAAAGGTGGAGCCAATTTTGTGAGTCATGGATACACCAAAGGGGATGGTCTTGGTGCTGAGATTGTTGGCACCTTTCTCCTTGTTTACACTGTTTTCTCCGCCACTGATGCCAAGAGAAACGCTAGAGACTCTCACGTTCCGGTAATTTCCATTTCCCAATGTTGGACTTGGTCATTAATTATATGACTATAAGTATTGGAATACTTTTTGTGTGGACTATGTAATAATGTGTCATAAAATTCCAGATTTTGGCCCCTCTGCCAATAGGGTTTGCTGTGTTTTTGGTCCACTTGGCAACCATTCCCATCACAGGAACCGGCATTAACCCTGCTAGGAGTCTTGGTGCTGCTATAGTATACAACCGAGACCATGCTTGGGATCACCATGTATGTGTTGTGTCCTTTCACTTTTTTCTTTTTTCTTTTGCTTTATACTCACTTATGCCTTAATTTACTTCTTATTATGGCTAATTACAGTGGATTTTCTGGGTTGGACCTTTCACTGGAGCTGCTCTTGCTGCTTTATATCACCAGATAGTCATACGAGCAATTCCTTTCAAGACAAGGGGTTAATTATCTCAGTTTCAGTTACTACCCGCTGTCATGTCTTTCTCTATTTGCCCAATTAATATGGACTATCTATTTCTTTAAATTCAGATCTATCATGTGTGTAAATTATCTACCTCTTTTTCTCTTTCTTTGTGAACTCGATTCATTCTGGACATTTTTTCGTGCTGTTATGCCTAGTGCTTATTAATTTTTTTTCCTTTCCTCTTCTTTTTACCCTCAAAACCACACTATACAGTATTTAATTATTTATGTCGAGGAACAGAATATTAAAATAATAACCATCTATTAATCTTTGAAAATATAGAAATATTATTTTAAAATTTGAAATTAGTAAATGGAAATTATTTTAATTTCTTACATTTTTAAGTAATTATATTTCTCCGATTTTAATAATTTTTAAAGATTCGAAGAATTTTTTATACTTACTGAGATTAAATTGAATAATGTTGTATATTTTTCATTGTTTACGATATTGGTTTACGAAAACGCTCGTGCCTCCATTTTCTTACGAAATTCTAATTGTAAAACAACGGGCAACATCAAATACATCGTGTTTTAGTCCCTTAATTAATTGGATAAGAATTGAATAACTATGCTTTTTTTATTTTCCTTCACAAAATTCGAACAAGGAATCTTAATTAAGAATGGCGTTTTCTTTTGAACTGTCAATGGAGAAAGATGACCTGCCAATAGAGCAATTTGAAACTTCTTGTTACTTCAGCAAACATCTAAAGTTGTTGTTACTTCCAAGCCTTGAAGAGGAAATATTGCACAAATGAGATAGTTGTTTTTATAACGTTGCATCGTAGTAGCTATTGTTGTGTATAGAAATTTGTGAAAACTAACCGTTAAAATTTTCTATATTTGTTCCTCAATTTACTGAAAGTTGTTACTTCAACGCGTGTTTTCAGATTTGGACCAGTCGATGCACAACAGATCATAACAAATATAGTTTATGCATTTTTTCTTTTCTGTTTAATGTAATTTTACCAAGAAAAAAGATGTGTCTTCAATCTGTGTCAAAACACAAACCATCAACTGGCAACCAAAGCTTGTTAAACTTGTTTGGTTTAATCATATATTCTCAAAATTTCACTCGCTAGTTATTTTTTTTCCAAAATAAATTTCAATTAGTTTAATGTAAGTTATTTTATATAAAATATAATTTCAGATGTCAAATCTTAATATCAAATTCAAGTAAAATGAAAAAAAATACAAGTAAAAGAAATTAATAGTAAAGAACTATTTGGATGTATACGAAGGACCAAAATAAAATATAGAAAAAAATATTTTTAGTCTCTTATATTTTTTCTTTGAACTATTTTTATCTCTAATTTAAAAATACATTATATAAACATTTTAAAGATCAAAATTGGAGCAATTTTAAATTAAAGACTAATGTTAAAAAAATTGAAAAACTAAAACCGAGCTTAATAAATTTTAGAGAGATTAAAAACATTTTATCCTAAAATTTAATTTAAATGTAATATGAACTGCACCTGCTCACCCTGTATCTCGCTCTAAATAGAGGCCACGTTGTACGACCTGAGTGAGAGGGAGGCAAAGAAAGAGGGTCAAAATGAAAAAGCTGCAATTCTGACGATTCTGCAAGTCATCTGATAGCCATGACTCTAATTCAGTGTCTTAAATAAATGTCCAGAAACAGCCAAAAAAGAGAGTAATTGTTCCCTGCAAAGCTGTTGTAGCATTCGCATAGTAATTAATAACAATAACCAAAAAAAAAAATTGATAAAACAACTCAAGTCTGCAACCAGCAGAAAAGCAAGTTAACTAGAATAACCAAGCACGTACGGGAGGAAAATGTTGCATAAATTCATCTTCAATTTAGTTCCTAAGCATTTGTACAATATATATTTTATTCTTTCTACACTTGGGCTTTTGGCGTCACCACTATTTTCAGCTAGAATGATCAGTACAACATAATGACCGCACCAAAGACAAAGTTGTTAATGTACATTTCCCTAAAATGAAGAAGAAGAAAATGTTAATCATAAGACTGAGGTTAACGTTGCATATCGTAGGGCATCCACTCTAAAATTGCGGATTTTGCACCATCTTTGTGGACCCTATAGAATCCAAAATTAGTTTGCCACCTTAAAGTCATTCAAGGAGGTATATATATATGACCACTTTCCACTCCATTAGCATTGGAGCACTGTGGTTAAGATCTATGACCGAAATTTAGTCTTACACGATCATTTAACAGCTGCTGCAAATCCCCATCACAAAATTCTCTAGGTAATCCCTGGATAACCCTCCTGTTATAGTTTCCTAGAGCATCATTATTAGATGAAACTATATCCGGGCAAGCATAAGTACTTCGCGGAATCCCCCAAAGTGGATCGTGCTTTGGCTCCTGATAACGAGCATTTTGAGGCCTTTGGATCACATTGACACCTTCATAGGAGATTGCCGGCTGTCTTGTTTGATGAAAAGGGACTGCACCAATGCCACTAGTCAGCGGTGTAGATGAGCCAGATGCAGTACGAGGACTAGATATGGGAGATGGGGACAGCCTTCCACTCGCATGCCTTGAACTAGATAGCAAAAGTGGGCTTCCAGTAGGAGACACGGGATGTGATATGTTCCTTGGTGTATGGGCATCACTGGAAATATAGGATGGAAAAAAATGTTGGTTCATTTTCTTTGACAAAAGAGACAATTCTCATGCCCTTGTATAAACAAATAATTTGAGACCAATTTTCCTCCATCACCATGACATCACTATCATACCATTGGAGCTTGATTATGAAAATATTTATCAGGCAAGTATTAAAAGCACTGCAGGTTCCTAAAGCTTACACTCAAGTTTCCTTTAAGAAAAGGGAACAAGTGGGCAATTTCGAAAAATCCAATTGATACAACAATCATCAGCCACGCGTGAGTTAGCACAACTATGCACATGAATGTGTATACCCACATATTTGTCTCATCTATGCACGTGAATTTTCTCATGCTTGAGTGTGTGCATTTGAGAGAGAGAGAGAGAGAGAGAGAGAGAGAGAAAACCTTAGCCCTGAACCGGTTCTCGAGATTCTAGACAGATGTGTGCCAGCTGCTTCTGAAACTGAGCCTAAATTATGTTTTGCAGGTTCAATATCCTGAAAGAATGGTAGAACGGTGAAAATCAAAATAAAAAGGAAGGCAAACAAAACAAGTATTCATGTGCTTCACATGAATCAACCATCTTGAGGTTCTAAGTTCTAACAGTTTTTAATCAAATTCAGGCATTCAAACCCTTGTGCTAAAAAACTCCTTTCTTCACTTATTTCATATACTTGCACAAATTTCATATAAGAGTAAGAACTTCAGGGAAACAGTATCATGAAGACTTCTAATTGCTTTTACCAGAGATCTCATAGCATTTACAAAAGCAGGATTTGATTCTAAAGGATCAGCAGACAAAATAGGTCTTTCCAGTGTGACTCTTTTAACAAATGGATGCAGAAGAAGTTGAGCAGCGGAGGGACGACGCTGTGGATTCCTTTGCAAGCATTGCCTGACAAAATCTTTCCCATCTTCTGATAGATGATCTGGTATTGCAGGAAGTTCCTTGCTGTTTCCAATCTTAAACATAGCTGCAACCTAACATGTGCAACAGAAGAAACAAAGATAAGCAATCAACATTGTATATACAAACATGTACTCCAACTAAGAGATTCATACATTTTTATCAGAAAATAGATTTGAAATGAATATGAAAAAATATTCAGTCTTTTTCAGTTTGTTGTCAAAATTCCCTAACCCCTTCATATTGGCTCCAAGGTGGTTTTGTTGTAGCCATCTCCAAAACAGTGCAGCCCAGGCTCCATATATCAACAGCAAGATTACAACCACCTGAATTTTTTATTACCTAGACAATCAAAGCAGTGTCACAAACAAGAATATTACATGAAAAACATCCATAATAAAAAGTGCAAGTTATGACCTCAGGTGCCATCCAGTAAGGACTTCCTTTGGAAGATAATGGACAGGACTGCCCGCCTATCTGCAATTAGTTCCAACAGATAATGTTATAAACAATGGCCCTATGCGGAGGCGCAGAGTGTATATTTAACTTAAGTTAAATTATCTGATGCCCTAGAGGCACTTCCATTATCAATAGAAAGATAAAAGTTACATGGCATAAACATAAAAATATCTTTCAGGAGCTCTTACATGCTTTGCCATACCAAAATCCGCCAATTTTACCCTCCCATTTGGATCCACCAATATGTTTGCTCCTTTAATGTCTCTGAGCAAAATCCAGCAATTAGACGAGGAAAATAAGATAATTGAAACAGAACTTGAAGATAATCATGTAGTTATAATCATCACCAAGACTCACCTATGGACAGTGTTTTTAGCATGTAAATAAGCTAGACCCAACACAATTTGCCGAGTATAATTACGAATAGCAATTTCACCAAGCTGACCATATTGTTGAAGCAACTTATAGATTGACCCACCAGAGACATACTCTAAGTATATATAAAGTTTGTCATCTACCTGTTCAGTATGAAGAACCATAAATCAGTTAAAACAATTTGAAGTGTCAATGCCTTTTCCTAAATTTATAGTAGTGTGGCAAATTTCTAAAATAGTTGTGCATTTCTCATAATAGAGTATAAGTTATAGCTGCTGCCTTATTTGTAATGAGTAATTCAGTTTTGCTTAGTTATAGTTGGCAACTTTCCAATTGTTTGAATAAATTTGGAAAATGAAGCACAAAATTGTTACACCATTATTAGAATAAAGCAGAGTCCAATAGATATACCGTCTCAGATCCATAATATTGAACTATATTTGGATGCCGCAGGTGACTTAGCAATGCAATTTCCTGCAAGATGCAACTAGTATGAGTGACTACGCATCATCAGTGCATATTAGGAATCCGTGATTCTCTTTCTCTCCCTCCCCTCCTCTTCCTATCTATATATGGATGTAGATAGATAGATTGAGGGAGCAAGAGACTCTTGTAACAACAAAATGAATTATTCCATTTCCAAAATTATCCTTATTATTTTATTAAAGGGGGGAATGGTGGGGGGTAACGGCAATTAGGAAAATTAGGTCATCTTTCCACATTGAAAATGAGACATAATGGAGGAAGTGTGTTAATCGACAAAATCAAGCTTACTTGGCCAAGTTGTTTAGCACTTTCCCTTGATTTAGCATCATCTGCAAAAAGGGTTACCTCCTTCATTGCACACATCTCGCCACTATCACTACGGATCAGAAGTTAAACTAAATCAGATGTAAAAGTAGAAACTATTTGATGCAAGAAAATTATAGATAACCCACACCTTGAGACACAAACAACAGAACAATTACAAATATCAAATTAGAATCATGGTCAGTGTGACATTAATTGATTGAGGAAAAGTCAAATAATACAACATAATCAGCTAAGAGCAACTCCAATCGAGTTGCTTAATTAAAATTTGATTGGTTCTATATGCCATTTTATAAGAACTTCAATCATTTTTTCCTCCAACAGTGCAACTATTAAAACAGGTCCTAGTTGTTATTTTATATTAAAATTATTTATTAAAAAAACCTTCCCTTCTTAAACCTCGGCAGTAAATTAATATCTCATCACTTTCCTTTCCAGAATATTTACCATCTTTCTTGCCCCTTTCTTCCCAGATGCACATTCTGATTAGCCCCCTCTTCTTTTGTGATTCCGAGCCATTTTCTTCTCACCACCTTGAAGTGCACTCACATTTATCTCCCAAGTTCCAAGGTTTCCCTCCCTCGAATCTACAAGCTCTGCTTTCTGACCATCCATGCCATATATAGGAAGAGTCCCATTGTGTCCTCCTTCACTTACAGATTTCAGGTTCTGTAAAATAAGGAACCTTCACTCTCCAAAAAGAGAGAGGAAAGAAGAGGAAGAACGGGAAAGAGGGAGGAAACAAAAGGGGAAATCCACCAATGGCAACACACAAGCAGAGGCAAGTTCTTTCTCTGATTCTGAGTTTCATTTCTTCTAGTTGACTCACATGCAGAGCCATTCTTTGATTCCGGATTTCATTTCTTCCATTAACATAGCTGAAATTTTGTTTTTTAATCCTAAGAAACTGTTGCTTACAGAAGAATGGTTCTAACACTTGTCTTTCCAATTCAACCCGCTCAAATTGTGAACTTTGCAAAGATGAGTTCTTATTTTGAAGAACTGGTTAAGCATCTTTTGGAGATGCTCTAAGCTCAGAATTATAAATCACACATAAAAAAAAATCCTAATATGATAATAGGCCAAACTGTAGAAAATATACATAGATATGCACTTGGAATGAATAACAATAACTAAATACCTGTTAAAACCAATATATACATGCCCAAATGTCCCCCTTCCAAGCAGTTGCCCCTTTTTCCAGCATGAACCTGGGCTTGTTAGATTTTCTGCAATGCCAGGACTACGAGGTGCTGAAGGAGTAGTATTTGCAGAATAGGTTGTAGAAAACAGAGAGGGATTAGGGATTGTTATTGAAGGAAGACGTAATCGGCAAGTCTGTTGTTTTACATCATCAGGACGTCTTGTGGATGATTCTGTTGTGGTGCCTCCAGCACGTGGATGAAGAGGAGTGACAGCCCCACTGTGTATCCTGGAACCGAAACCAGGACTTGTCATTCCAGGACTGGGTATTGGAGAACACTCAGGGCTACACCTGCTCTGTGGCCAGAACATCTGCCCTGTCAGATCCCCAACAACTGAATTATGGCCCGAACCTGGACTAGAGCAGTGCCCAGAAGTTAAATCTGGATATGGCTTTTCTGTACAGAATCCAGAGTTCAAAACTTGCTCGGAACCAAATCTTCTCAGTGGACTTCTAGAAGGACTTGACATTGAACTGCCTGGAGCACTCCATAAACCACCTGAACTAGCAATTTGCAGATTTGGAAGTTGCAAAGAAGCTCCTTTGGGTGTGTTAGATGGAAGTTGATGATTGTACAATTGAGGAGCTGGTTTTGAGGATACACTCAAGTTTTTCTGGATAGTAATGGGTGACTGATCCTTGTGCACCACACTTCAGGGGAATAGAAATAAATTCAATATGAGAAAGAACAGAAAAATAATGAATTTGCATGGAAAGGATTCAAAAGAAAAATATGCATTTATATGGAAGTAAACTCACCTGACGGAACTGTTAATGATTGCTTGGTTTCCATTTTCACAGTCAGATGCCAAAGGACTAAGGAAACGTGAGTCACATTGGTCATCGCTATCAATTGAGCTGCCACTAGAAACTGATGCAGTGGCTATATCTTCCTCAGCATACGTAGGTTCTCCCCTGTTGGAAACACAACCAGGTTTTGGTAGGGGTAAATATAGAGATGACTTTGAGCCTCTGGTGCTACTGCTTTCTAGTTTTGCTGTTATTCTAGTTCCATAATTTGCATGATTGGCAGCAGGAAGGTGCGTCTTTGGGGGTGGGAGCGGGAGCGGGAGTGGCTGAGCAAGAGGCCTTTCTCCAAAACTTTGACAGCGATAAACATGTGCTGTGGGTGATGGTGATCTTGAAGGCGCAAGGGATATAGATCCCTTCTCTGAGATAGTTTCACTACGATGTCTCCTAGACCATCTTGATTTATTTAATTTCCTCTGTATTGCATCCATAATACAGTGCCTGTTTTCTTTCCTCTTTACCTCTTTGGATGAAGACTTTCCCCACCATAATGGCATGTCTTTGAAGGAATCTTGCAAAAAATACACACAGAAATGGCAGAAAATATCTTCCAACTTCTGGTGATCTGCACTACAGAACCAAATCTACGACTTGTATCTGTATAATGGCTAATTCATTACATGCCATCTAAATCTCCACTGAATAACTATATTCCATTCCACTTTATAAACCATACAAGAGGAATGCATCACCCCAAAAGAACCTAAAAACAGAAAGTTCCAATGTTAGCTTAGTTCTTACCCAAAATAAACATTTAATATGTTTAACATATAAGGGGTCCAAGGTTGCATAAAACTGACTGAGATCAGATAATTGATCAACAATGTACATAGAAACCTTTTTATTGGTTAGAAATTCAGATTTAGGAGTAATGCATGCATGAAGTGTAAGATCAACTTCAATGATCATTTTTAGGATAAGTATGATATCAAATGAAACACTGGAGCCTTTGGTAGAAATATGGTAAGGATATTAAAAATTCCAATAAAGAAGAAAATATATATTAAGTTACGGTAAGGGGAAAAATATCCATAACAGAAAATTTATGCAACAGGAGGAAGATTATCACGCACTTGCAGCTAAACATGATTACTAAGTAGTAAAAGCTCTTCCAAATGGTATCTTGACCAGAATTACTGAGAAAAGCACAGAAAGCATTAAAATATTTAACTACTTAGATAATAACACATCAAGTGTCCTAGTCTATGGCAATTATTGGATCCTAATTCCTAATGCAGGCCGATGTATGTTAAATGTTTTCAGACCCTAAAGATAAGTTCATAAAAACCATTACAATTTCTCTAATTCAAAATAAGTAGGCACGCTGATGATGTCATAACTAAAGACAAAATACCATGGAAGTTTTATTGATTTAGTAATTAATGCCAAAATGTCATTTACACACCTAGACACCTAACTCGTCCTTCCAATGAACACGTTTATACAGACCAAAATTGAATTTCAGTAACGCCTTAGAGTATGTTCGGAAACCTATTTAAACAACATTCAATGGAGGTTTCCACATTTCGACGCACCAAACATGGAATGAACCCCAAGGATGGATTGACATTACATTCAACTCAATGATTTCCAAGCACATATTTATTCAATATATATTGGGAATGAAAAAAAAGCAAACCCATGCAAAGAAGTAAGTTCTATACTATCCAATTCTTTCTTAAAAAATGATAAGAATATAATTTAGGAAAACAGGTATTAAAAGATATAGAGTTTGTTTGGATACAAGCTTAAAACAGCTTTTGAGAGCTTCTCTATCGACAATAAAGAGCTTTTCCAGTAGAGAAGCTTTCAAAAATAATTATAATTTGTATCCACACAGACTCATAATGTACCAAAAAACACTTAGGCAAGACTTGCATTTCAATTCAAGTGGTAGAAGCACATGTGGAGTTGGATGATACAGAAGTCACATTGCATAACACTACATTCCGCACACTTCGTAATTTAACAGAGGCAATTATGTTTTCTGCGAATGGCAGTTAGAAGCATGACAATCCAAATTTCTTCCTGCCTTTTTTCCTAACTAGTAAAGGAAAACTGATGCAAATTGCAAAATAATCTCAATTGTTGAAAAAAAATTTGTCAGTGTGGAGAAAAAGGAATCAACTAAATTATTCCTCTCAATTATCTTCTTCCTTGTTCTCTCATTCGTGGAGCTAGGACAAGCAACACACAGCATTATATACATGCATGAAATTTAAAGATGAGAAGTTAAAGAACCCATAGATAAACGCCATAAAGTCAGATCTACTAGTTCAATCAATTCTTAGACCGAAACGCATAATCAACAAAATTTAAATAAAGAAATTACGAAAAACTATGAACCAGCTTCAAATTCAACAGAATAGTTGTGATTACTGACTTAAGTGGTAAGTAAAGACACGAGATAACACAGAACAAAGTTCAGATTCCAAGAGAAGGATCCAACCATGACGGTTCAGTAATGAGCATGCAGTGTTCAATTGAGTAAAAGAAAGAGCGGTAACCCTACGAGAAATGACTCACTGATAAACGTCGAGGGTTGGGTGAAGATTGGAAGCAGAAGGTGCGGTGTCTCTTCGGCGCAGACACAGCGACATGAAGCAGAAAAGACACCGAGCAAAGGAACGGAAAGGGACAGACAGATAGAGAAGAACAACGAGACAGACACCTTAAGCAACAAACACACTCTCACTCTCTCTGCGTTACTTTTGAATACTAACTAAACTAATATTATATCAATAAACGGAAATAAAAGAACTCGGTGCGATGCTGTGTCGGGTAACAGGTAGCACACAACATCGTGGCCGTCAATTGAAATTCGTGTTGCCGATAAGTTTCTATCGTGTCATTTCGATTAGCCACTCCTAGAGGGAACATGGGATTCCGGTGTATCCTTCAACATCAAATTCCACACACACCTTTTTTCTTTTACCTAAACTCTTTCATAGATAATTTGAGTTGATTAAATTGTTTTCAACTTTCTTCTCTAATTTCATCCTCTTTAAACCTTAAATTCAAATCCAGCAAAATCTTTTCATTTTTCTTTATCTGTCATAAAATTTATAACTAAAAAGAAAAAATAAAAATAGTATGTATTAAAATAAAAATGGAATACTTTTAATTGTATAAACTAAAGAGTAAAGTTTATTATACTATAAGGATTAAATAAATATGTAAATTACTATATTTACTTATTCTTAAAATAATAATATTTGATTGGCTAAAAAGAAAAAAAATATACCAAAATTACTTGATAAAAGTGTTATCTAAATTAATCATACTTGACTCAAACAAAATTATTTTTCACAAAAAATACCTATAATTTTATTTTAAAAAAATAAAACTTATACATCGTAAAAAAAATAGCAATAACTATGACCATAAAACAAATAAACTTATTACATAACTAGATTTCTTTCATTGATAATATATTTATATGTAGATATATTAATATAATTATCTTAAAAGGTATGAAGTAATTAATAATTCAATAAATTAACGATAATTATTTAAAGAAGAATGCAGCAATTACCTTGTTTTTCTTTTACAATGCATTTAATTAATACATAAAATCTAAAAAAACTAATAGTTGTCCCAAATTTTAGCTCAGATATGATTTCATTCTTACTTTTTTGTGATATTTTCGGGACCATATATAAGATGTTGATATTTGAAAGTAGTAACTTTGGTAGATACGAATTGCGCGCGTATTGGCCTCGCAACCTAAGATATTCTCAAGAATCTTAAAATGTCAAAGCTTCGTTGCTTATATACGGCATATGTAATATGTAATATTCTCGCAATCTTGATCTCGGGTATTGACTAGGACAGCAGTCTTGGACTTGCTTGATCTTTCAGGAAAAAAGGTCAAAGGTGTTCCACGATAAAAATAAAAAATAAAAAATAAAATTAATGTGGCTATGACAGAAAGCTTTTGTTTATTATTATTGTTTTTAATAGATATACATTTTTTTTATTTTCTTTAGTTATCTTAAAAATTATTAAATTAAAGAATCTACTACTTAAACACTTGGTATAGAAGAAAAAAAAATTAAAAATATTTTTTTCACGTAAGTGTTAATGTCAAATGTTATGTAATTGCATTGGATAATTATTTTTTTTCTTGTAGTTATGTGTTTAAATCATTTTTATTTGTTATTCATTTTATCTATCTCATTTATAATTGAGATGAATATATTAAATTTCAAATGACTTGAACATCGTATGTAAAAATTTTAGGGATCATCAGATCTTAAACATTTTATGTTTATTAGGATTGTGACTTTTTTATATTGTCTCACGGGTTGTTACATTTAATTATTTGTGATTTTCACCTATAGCTACTATCTTTACCTTTTTTGGATCTTTCGAAAAATGAATTTTTCAATGGTACATAAGCATGTGGATACCTCTTTTGACATACATAAAGTGGCATTAACTCATTAATTCTATGTTATCCTCATGTGTCAATCTCAAACAAATCAAAGATTGGACATACACAAACAATTCATGTCACCAAACTATTATTATAATCTGATCTCAATATTTTTGTATCGTATATTTCTCCTATAAGAAAGTAAGGGGAATTAAGAATCACGTGACTTTAATTACACATATAATGATCTAGAGACCTTATGAATTATAAAATGTAAAGACTTAGTTCATGCAAAGTATAAGGATGATACAATAACATAATAAAATAAGAATAAAAAATTATATGGATAAGACAAGTTTTATTTCTTTTTATGCTTGAAATGTACCGAATAATCTAGTAGATATTAGCAATACAAATTATATATGTAACGGATAAAGTTACAACTTTAACAAGTTGTGATATTCATGGTGATTTTGATAGTAATGACAAAAATAATAATGAAAAGTGTGATAATGATGATAGCAACAATAATAACAATGGTGGTCATAACAACAATAATAGAGATAACAATATGATAAAGCTAGTAGTAATGATAATAGTGGTGGTAATAAATATGGTAGTAACAACAATATTATGGTGACAATGATGGTGGTGGTGATGCTAATGGAGGAGGTGATGTCAATCATAATTATGATGGTAGAAACAATGACAATGGTACTAGTGATGGTGAATGTGGTAGTAATAATAGTTAAAAAGATATTATTTTTTTCTATCATAACTCATTGTTTTCCCTAATGATGACTTTTGAAATGATGAAGATGATAGACAAACAAATAAATAAGATAGTTATCTTATCAGTTTCTCATCCCATTGTATAATATTATCTTATTAATTAGAAAATAAAGTTAACTTAATGGTAAACCAAAAGATTCACATTAATAAGCATTTTTTTCATAGACGTGGTCTATGTAATTTCTCAAATTAACTGACAATTGATGATTAATATGCGCTCGCATAAACACTAATAAGCAATTGATATTTAACATGTCATTCATATTTAAGAAAAAAATTAAAACAATATTTTCAATGAATAATATTTAATTACTTTTAATTTATATACTAATATTTTTGTTAAAATATGTTAAATAACATTATAAGAAACATAATAGCATAAAAAAAATGTAGTATCGACCACAACACCAATATTGTTAACATTGACTAAGTTAGTGCAATGCATTGAAGTCAAAAGATTATGATGGTTGATTTTCTCAACCTCCATGTCATAAACCGATTTAGCTTTTCTAGTCTCATTATTGTCCCCTTAACCTTTAACTTCACTAATCCATGCATGTATATAAGCTTCTTTAGTTCTTCAAGATGTTGTAGGTTACCTCTTAGAATAATTTTAGATTTATAGACTACTCAACTAACTCTCAATGTAACTTACTTTTCTCATTCTAGTTAGATTTCTTTTTCAATAACAAGTATGATTCCTTTATATATATTTTTTGGCATGTTCAAAATCAAAATTAATTTGTGATATTAACTTTATAGATCTATTATCATAGAAAGTCAGAAAAATATGACAAATGTTAAATAATAATTATAATTTTGAGGTTTAACAAAAGACAAACATATATCTTATTCACACTTGATTTTGAGAATCTCTCAAACTAACATTGTATATATATCCCTAATAATTTATAAAATATCAAATTTTTCATCAAGAAAGGCTCATAGGATGCAATTTATTACCATAATCCCTATTCTTTACCTTATTTTGGGTCTTGACCATATCTTTATCTTTATTTACAACACCAACTTTAATTTTCACGACATTTGTTTGTCCCCCATTCACTTGTCTTCCCCTTTTTATCAAGAGAAAAGTGGTTACTAGAATGTTAAGCATTTTTATCGTGTGATTTTTATTTGTGCACTTTGAAAGTTTTTATAATTTGTGAAACTTGAAATTAAATTGTGTTGTTGGTTGATGATGACAATTTGTTTAAGGTGATTGTTGAATGCGTGACTATTTACAATGGGGTATCAAATTGGTTTACTCAACACAAATTATGAACGTACCTCACATATAGATCTAATAATTATAATTAAGAAGATTTAGAGTTAGCAATTTTGTTAAACAACACAAGAAAAAGTAAATGAAAATATTTTATCTATAAATGAATCTATGTTTTCAAGATACACATTACCATAACAATCAAATTGATCATTAGATTTGATTGTCAATCTAATTAAAGTGATCTAAGATTAATTTTACTTGACACACAATCTTGTTGGAGAATAATAAATCAAGATATTGAAAGGTTATTATTGACGTTATTATATTAGATTGAGAAATAAAAAAAAATCACTATAATAGAAAATATTAAAAAAAAGTTTTTTTTTTCTAAAAATTAAGATAATTTAATTTGTTTCTTTATAAACGAAATATGTTTCTTTTATATGAATCATTATATATCGATAAAAATTTATCCTCAATATTTTTTTTGGCGAACCCATTCTTTACCTCCTCTGCCCAAGAGTCCTAAGTATACTAAGGGGGTGTATTGGTTTAGAATTTCGTAAGATTTTAAAAGACTTTTTTTTAGTAAAAAACTCTATTGGTATTCAATCAGGATTTTATGTCACTTAAAAACAATCCAGTGGTATTCAATCTGGATTTTCAAGATTTTTTAAAGAGTCCATTAAAATCCATTGGTATTCATTTAAGATTTTTTATAACTTAAAAACAATCCATTGGTATTCAAAAATATAAGGATTTTAAAGGATTGTTGTGTGAGAGGGATTTTGAAGGACTTTCTAGTGTTATCTATAAATACCAAATTCATAAAACAATCTCATCCAAACCCATCGGATTTTGAAGGATTGTTTGAAGTGACTTTTCAAGAATTTTCAAGTGAGTTTTTCATCTTTTTTTTTTCTATGCTTTTGTTTTCTCCATTTTGTCTCTGCTAATAATACTGCACTATTGTTCATTGCTCATATATAATATTGTAATACTGTTCTCATCTCATTCCCCTATTTTGTGAAACTCCGATATGTAAATGATAATGTCATTGGCTTGCTCTATTTTTCTGTTCGTTTTTTTTAATTGACTTGCTTTATTTTATTCTATGTAGTTGAATTTGTTCCTTTATATAATATAAAAAATGCTTGAAATTTTAACTTTTAAGTTGTAATTTTTTTTATAACACCCGTCAAGAAAAGAAAAAGGTGAAAGATGAAATTGATATCATAATCTCTACAATATATATATATA